TTATGGGAATACGGGGCATCTCTTAATCTTCTTCGATGGGTCTGGAATTATCGTATTTACTTTTGTTAGTTTTCTTTTGTTTCTTGAACTTGGACTTGTAATGTACGATTTTCCTGCCTCTGTTTGTTTCTTCGAAGTGTTTATCATCCACTTGTCTAATCTGACCTGTTTTCTTAAACGGGTTGGTCACCTTACTTTTGACTGATTGCCTGTATTTCGTATCAACATCATAACTATGTCTGTTTTTGTTTAGCTGGTCAATCTTTTAATTTTGTTTTGTTGTACATTAAAATCAGGGCTACCTGCGTATAGAAAAATGTCTGCTGGAGTTCTTTTGGTGGTATTGTGCCTTGTTTTGTGATTATAAACGTATAGGATCGTTTCAAATTTTGTGCATCGATCTTCTATATTTTGTTCACTACCAATAATTCTCAGCTTCTCATTTACAGTCTTATGAAATCTTTCTATATCGGATACACCGTTTTTGCTTGTTGTGATGGTTATATTTACGCCTTCTGATTTTAGCCAGTTTTGCAATGCTATGCACATAAACGCTGAATCTTTATCTGCTTTTATTTCTTGCGGTTTTCCCATGTCATTAAATATCTTCATGAGGGCTCTTTTTGCTTCTAGCCAATCTCTACTTTTTACTTCGATTAGGTAGCAAATTTCGAGTAGATATCTATGCAAGATAGGAAGATTTGGTTCCCTGTTTAAGACTTCGGGTGTCGTTTCGAATACAAGTTTCGTATTCCTATGTTCAGTTTTAGCTATATTGCAAACTTCGCATTCATTGATAATGTTCTGAATGAGTTTCTGACTGTCAGGATAGTAATATTCTTCTTTAAACCAATTAATGGTTTTTTCTATACCTGGGTGTAAAAGTTCTTTATGTTTCTTTAAGATTAAATCTTTAAATTCTGCATACGTCAAAATATCAGTTAATTTCTGAGTACATCGCAGCAATTTTGTGAAACAATTAGGGCTTATAATTTCGATATACGCCCATTTGGAAAATAATAGTGCTTTCTTTGTGCAAAAATATTCCTTGATGAGGTTTTTAGCCAACTCGATCGTCATTTCTTTATATGTAATTTTAATTTTTAATTTTGAAAGTAATGACTCGTGTTAACTGTGTCTATTTCTCCTTTTACTACTTCTATTTGTCTAGAAAAATAGTTTAAGGGTCTTTCGGTGATGGAGATGTAATTTAAGTTATCTTCTGCAGCGCTATGGATTGTTGCATCCATGCTATCAGCAATTTCGCCAACCATGGCTTCTTCTATTACTGTGCGGGAAAGAGCATCCGCTACATAATTTTCTTTGCCTGGAAGATACTTAATTTTGTAATCAAATTCATTCAATTTGATTTTCCACCTTTGTAGTTTCATGTTAGGTTCTTTATGTTGTTAAGCCACACCAATGGTTTGTGATCACTTAATATTTCAAATGGCCTTCCGAATAGATATGACCTAAAATATTTAGTTGCCCAAACTATAGCTAACAATTCTTTTTCGATAGTAGCATAGTTTTTTCGTGTTCGTTTAGCGTTCTGCTTGCGTAACATACGGGCTTATGGTTTTGTGACAAAACAGCACCAATTGCTATATTGCTAGCGTCAGTTGTTAAAGAAAAGGGTTTTGAGAAATCAGGGTAGATTAAAATCGGGTCTGAAGTTATCAATACCTTTAGTTTTTCAAATGACTCTACATAATCTCTGCATTTGGTATCGATTACCGCTCCTTTTTTCAACTTTAGGGTCATAGGTTTAACTACCTTAGCAAAGTTAGGAATGAACTTGCGATAGAATCCACATAATCCTAGAAATGATTTTATTTGTTTAGGAGTTTTGATAATGGGAATTTGTGATTGCGTTCGTTTTGTTTGGGTTAGTCGATTCATTAGTAGTGACAATATGTCCTAGGATTCTGTTTCCTTCTCATGAACTCAATTTATCTAATTGCAATTTTAAGTTAGCGTCCTTAGTCGACTACTAATCTGAATTTCGGTTTACCTGAGGCGTCTGCCTTCTTTGGAACTACCCAAATGGGTGAACAATAGGGGGACTTAGATTTTCGGATAATGCCTGCTCTATCATTTCCTTAATTTGTTTATTTCCTCCTGATCAACACTCTGGGGGTTTTGTATGTTTGCGATAAACCGGATCTTCATGTTGAGTTTGGATAACATATTTAATGGTACTAGTGAAAGTCAAATTCCACCTTCTCTGTACTGAATGTCTCTATATTTGTATAGGACCTTCTTTAAACATTCTTTTTCTTCAACATTGAGGTGTTCGAGTCTAAACTCATTACATTCGCGTAATTCATTATTGATCGCGAAGTAATTGTTTCGTCAGTAATGGATGTGAGATCGGATTGCATTGCATCTGCATCCTCTGCATCTTTACTGTTTTGGGAGTAAGGCACTTTAGGGGTGCGGTCTTCTCCACTTTTTGTTCGATTTGGTTGTTAACCTTTTTGTCTTTGGACTGGGACACTTTTTAGTGTGGTCTCGCCCTTTTTGATTGGGTCAAGGCACCTAGTTGATGCGGTCTCGCCCTTTTTGATTGGGTCAAGGATCTAGTTGATGCGGTCTCGCCCTTTTTGATTGGGTCAAGGCATCTAGTTGATGCGGTCTGCCCTTCTCATCCTCGTATCTGAATTTATAGGTTTTGAACCTAAGGTTACAGTCTCCTTTTCATAATCAATCTTTGCTTGGTATCTACTAAGTATTGACAACTAACTAACAGGAAATCATAATTTTGAGAAAATTTGTGAACATAGAATTTTTGTTCGAACGGACATATTACATGGGGCTTAATCATTATACTTTTCGTTAGTTTTATTGGGCCTTAATTGTATATACCGTGAGGTTTTCTTTATTTTCTTTTAAATTCGCAAAATTTTCCATAATGATGTTAATGGATGACCCTGTGTCTATCATACTTTGTAAAGATTGTTTTCATAATTAATTGGATTGATACTTCCTCTTCTCCGTATCCGAGATTTCCGAGGCAGTTTGATGAAAATTTACGTCTACCTCCATTTTAGTCTGTCCACTACTACTTTCTCTTTGTCTTTTAACGGGACCATTATTACCCGGGTTGTGTGAAGTAGAGGGCTGATAGTTTAATGGGTTATTCTGCCTACCTTGATTTAACTTGTTCCTAAAATTGTGATAAACTTGTGGGTCAACAATAGTAGGGTTATTTCGATTTCGATTCTGGGTATTTCGATTCGAATTACTGGCTTGATTATTATTTTGAGACGTAGATGAATAGTTAGAATTTGCGTTATGTTTGGTATTGTAATATCTTTGATTATTATTTAAATTTTTATTTCCCTTATTCCTGCGATTATAATCGTGAGATTTTTGAAAATACATGTCTTCAGGATTTGCGTCATAAAGACCAAGTTCCATAGTGGCTTGTTTTAACTTTGGGATAGTGTCAATATCCTTACGAGCCAACGACATGTACATTCTATCTGGTAATTTCTTATCGATTGTAGACTTGATAGTCCATTTTAACATATCGGAATAATTGCTCTTAACTACGGGATTATATTCTAGTTCTAACTTATCAAAAATATTACGATGCTGTGCTTCCAGCATCTGGATGAACTTACTAATGCTCCCTGAATATGGCGTGTCCTCCAGTTGTTTTATCAGCGTCACATATGGTCTATGATGCTTAAATGAAGTGGAAAGGGCTTCTCGGATCTTCATCCATGATGTTGCTCCTGCTTGGATTACTGCTTCTAAGGCGTTGTCCACTATTACTCGTTTTATAGCGCCGTAGATTATATGAGCTTGCCGGTTATCTTGTGTTGGGTACAGGGTCAGCAGTTGATCAACCTGGTTGATGAATATTGACAGCTTTCCTGGTGGGCCATCGTAATAATGCAGCTCCTTGATTTGGTTCAGCAACTGATTTAAGTGTAGCTCGGAGAGTTGTTGCACTGTTGCCATTTTTAGTTTTGTTTTATTTAAAAAGTCACAGAATTAAAAATTCGGATTTGAACTTTATTTCTGACCGCACGGGATTTTCGTTTGGTTGTATTAAAAGTCACAGAATTAAAGATTCGGGTTTGAACTTTATTTCCGATCGCACGGGATTTTCGATTTAGAATACTACTTGCACGTAGATTCTTTAGCGGATCAATTTTTTAATCACTATTTCAATTCGTTGGTCTGGATAGCTAGTTGTATAGCTTATCCTTTAAGTTGACCAATACCGTACTGAAAGGATTATTTTAATTTTGATCCTACTGGCTGCGACAATTAAATACTTGGTTATTCGTAAGTTAAAAGAAATTATTTTTATTTTTATTTAACCGAATAAGTTACAAGATATTTTTATGAGAAGAACACCGACCGAATAATTCGTGTCTTAAACTGAACTCTGCTTATTGAACTAGGATGGGTGACGATCAAGCCTCGGTTTCGAGCTTTCGTGGATCTTGATTGATTTCGAAAGATTCTAAGAGAGAGCTTAATTGATTCTTTAATTTCTCTTGGATTCAAGTGCATTCGCTCTTGGATACAAGTGCTCTTTTGAAATTTGATTATTTTGTTTTCGAGCTAACGAGTCCGAACTTTGAACGTGTGAACGCGACAAATAGGAAAGGATGTTTAGACAATAAAATTGTTTAGTCTATTACTGGGGACTTGTGTTTATTCTACTGTCGAACTCGTGTGGAGTTGTGGTATCCAATGACTGTATGGTTATCATTCGATGATGATTCATGGGTGTACATATATGTGGAATAAGTAGGCATGTGCTAAAGTCTATGGGACTGTGGATATGTCACTATATATATATTTTTTTATTTATATATATGGTATATTATTTATAATATATGAATACAAACTCTAAACTTAAATTCAATGCAATTCAACACTAAAACGTTTTAATATTTTCCTACTTTGTCGCTTCGCTAAATATTAAATTAAATGCAATATTATATAGCAATTTTAATATATTTTTGTTTTAATATTAAACACAGGTTTATATGTATTATGGTGTAACTAAATATATTAAAATAGAGGCTGATTAACATTCCAGTAAGTATATTTATATTTTATTTTAGACAAATTAATTACAAATAACCATTTTAGAACATGATGTACGATTTAAGGGGCTCTTATTCTGCACCACATGAGAGTGATTCTTCAATTAGAAATAGGCACAATCGGCCTTTAAATGGTACGTATTTTCTAAACTTTTAGATACCAAACAATTTATAGTAACACAATTAACCAGATTATTTAGATGCCTTGATCTTTGTTATTTTGATAATTTCAATGTTGACGAACATATTCAAGTAAATATATTTATAAATTTTTTTTGCGAATTTTTAAGGGTACTGTAAAAAAAAATAGAAACTAAGAGTATTTCAATGACAGCCACAGGATTTGGTGGTTCGATCAAGCCATTTATATATGTATGTTCATATGTACATATTTAGTACGTATAATATAAATAAGTTTTTCGAGATAGCTCTAACCCTGAGAGACTATTTTGCGTATAAACTGGCAGACGGACGAACGGACATGGCTAGATTAATTCGGCTAGTTATACTGTTAAAATATAAAAACCTGTTCATAAGGTAAGATAAAATTGACGAAGATACCTCTAACTCAATTTATGACGTAAATTATTGTGACTATTAATAGTAACAATTAGCTGGCGTCAAATCATCTGACCGAAATCATAAACCCTTTTCAAGGTATACAAATAAAACTATTGACTCAGGTCCTTTAAAAAAAGTACTAGATCAACATATTATGCATATTTTGTCGTTATTTTTCTGTCGCAACTAGTTAACGCATGCAACAATAAAACCACTGCGTCATGTACTTCTTTTTCAAAAATTTAATAAACATCCATTATATTACGTATCAGAATACAAGAGGCTTATATATGTAGTAAGCTTCCTAACTTGTATTCTGATAGTTTTTCGTTTGCTTCTTTATTTTTTTTAATTTCAAAATCCGAACTTCGTGCCAGCGAAGGGCAAAAACGCCAGAGCAGCAGAGAGCTCGGCGGCAGATGGCTGCCGAAGGCCTCTCTGCCCGCCGACAGGGAAGTCGGCTTTCAACAGCCCAGGAGGGCAGACGTGCCTCTCGGAGTCGGTATTCAGCAGCCCAAGAGGGTAGACGTGCCTCTGAGAGTCGGTTTTAAACAGCGCAGGAGGACAGACGAACCTCCGGGAGCCGGTCCGCAACCGGAAAACAGGAGTCGGGCTCCACGCGGCCGGAGGGGTGCCCTGCCTCCTGGAACCGTCACCGCAAGGAGCCAGAGTCCCGGGCGACCCAGGCTCAGGTCAAAAACGTGGCCAGCGACGACAACAACGACACCCATGCGGTCCGCCACCGTGGAAAGGCGGTCCATGAAGAACCACTAGGAGCGGGTGAGCTGGACCTTGGCGCGATCCTCGTTGCGGGGTTCATGTGCGAGAAAGAGGTAGGAGTAGTTTTTCCGGTAGGGATCTTAGGGAATAAACAAATATATGTGAACGCTACTATGGTGTCCCAGACCCCCTTTGAGAAAGCGACCCACGGTTGACGGGTCCGCGTCCAAACCGGGTTCCTCTCCGGGCGTAGTGGGCGGCACACGGGTGACGTGGTCTCCATGCCTATGCCCGGAAGTGTCTTTCCACCCAGGCGAGTCCGGCAACCCCGATACCGGGGTGACGGGGTCGGGGAAGCGCCTTAATCGAGTTGAGGGACGGTCGCCACCCGGTACCGGGGCCGGCCTAACCACAACCCGAGCGAGCCCTCCCTCCCTGGCCGAGGAACACGCCGCCGGTTGACGTGGCGTGGACCGAAGCCGAGCCGCACATGGTCACCGGTGGGACAGGCGTCGGTATCCGGGTGACGGGCCGACACTGAACCGCCGGAAAGCCGGTGCGGAGCATCCCCTTTCCCCCTTTACTCCTTCTTTCCTGTTCCCCGTCTCGGCCTCTCGGGCCCGAAATCCTGCCTGTCCCCGTAAATATAAATATTTCAGTGGAGGATCCTAGCCCGGCTTTGTTTATACCGTGATAAACATCCTTACACTTGATTTTTGATTTGTCTAGGTTTGCTTATGGCGCTATGACACAGTAATGCAGTTTTCATTAATTAGAGATTCATTAAAACCTTGAAAGAGACAGTTATATGTGTTACTGATTTAAAAGGTACCAACAGACTTTCAAACTGGTTCGGAGTCATTCGTAGTATGTGTTTATGTATTCTCGTTTCCTCGTCTAGCAGTTTCGGCTGTAATTTATGTGAATAGCCTAAAGTACATTTTAACCCTGATATTTTATGTAGTTAGATTAATTTTTTAATAAAAATCTACCTTATTAGATAGGCTATATCTCCGTCATTTGTGAATATTTTTTATTCTTCCAACAACTATTTTCTACTTTAACATAAATACTTTGATATTTCAATCAAAATAAAGTTGTATTTTTAATAGCTTTGGCCAAACATTATCTACCTGATTTTTTGATTGCTTAGGATGTTCTACAGTGGAGCAACAATAAGTGTATAAGGATATTTGTACTCGGTATTGAGCAAACATAGAAAGTCAGTAATTTCACCTCATAAATGAAGGTGATACCTAGCATAGCTCTGCGGTTGAATAAGGAAAGCAAGTTAATTTGAGGAGTCTACTAGAATAGGACGGCAACATTCGGTCTACGTCCCACAATACGAGACAATGTCATTAGTTTGCATTTTAGTTTAGGCGACACCATGTTTACAAATTATTAAGATATGTTTTTAAATCCGAAAAAGCTTGACGTCGTCCTCGTAACTGTGAAAATAGGCAGAACTTTAAGCAGTTCATTTTAAAATATTGTAATCAATAAGTGACCCAAATAAGTTGCATGCGAGACTACAGATATCCATTCAGATAACCTAAAATCCATTTATGAAGATCAATTGGATTATATATCCTTGTAGTTGTTATAAAAACCCTTTATAATAAAGAAATTCAGTTCGAAAAGATTAGTTGTTGTTGATATACGCTTAATAACTTCATGTTGACATGAAGAAATAACTGATCTACAATGGTATTACAAATGAAAGGTAATGACATTTTTGGAACGTTTTGGGATGGTCGACAAATTAGGAATTCCTCTATAGTTGTCCATAGCTACAGACACGTCAGTGCACATGTATAAATAGGAACAATTAAGTTCAGATATAAAATTATTTATTAATTGGCTGTACGGTCAAATATATTCTGAATTAACGAGATTCACATCGACCGTAGGAAGATTGGGATCTTGGAGTTGCGTCGACGGCGCCACTAGCTAAACTAACTCTCGCCGGATCTATAACAAAACAAAGATTAGGCAATCGCTCTAAGGTGTTTCGAACAAGGTTGACTTGGAAAATGTGGAAAAATCAAGTTATTAAATTATTTGTGTTGCATTAGGAGGGTATTAGTGGAATTATTTTAGGAAACGAGAAACGATAAATGATCATGATCAGGTAATGAAAATGAAGCTGCCATTGACAGATAGCTTCACACAAAGATATTAAACATCACCATCACGTCTGCAAGCTAACTACATAGGCCTCTTGGATTTTAATAGGAAATTTAAAATAGGACACCCTTGGAGGATATAATACCGGGGCTCTGAGGGGTCATTATTTAAAACCCCCAAGGATTAAAACGAATGTAACCGGCGGTACGGTTACTCTATCGGCAATTTTAGATTCGATATCTTATTTATCACTAAATTTAAGATTGCTTGGATTGAATCCAATACTGGGGGCTGTGCCGAGATAGGCTGCTGTTGAGAGCCTACAGCGGGTTGTTGGAGTCCGACTACATGCTGTCTGCCAGTTTTCTTTCTGGTAGACTCATGTAAAAGCTTGAAGCCTTAAAAATATCATGAGTTTTGTGAAAACTCGATAATACCTCCTTAAAACTACCCTTGGCTTGCCGCGTAAAACACAAATTTTCACATCGCGACAGGTCCTGCAGCAGTGGCGCGAGCCAATGATTTCCATCGTCCGAGCACTTGGCATGCATGATGTTGTTGGCATGATGTTACGGAAATGAGAGGCAGTTCTAACTCTATTCTATACTCGCAAAGAGGGCATGTCCACCGCGGGGGGTTACAACAGAGATATTTACCGCAATAGAGGCTATGCTTGAGGTAATAATAATAATATTAATTACTTACAATACAGCTACAACCGCAATAATGTTTACAATAACCCGGATTATGGAAACTACGTGAAAGTTGTAGATTTTAAAACCGTAATAAACCAACAAGAAAGTTCGTTCAACATGCAAAATGGTAACATAAGATTCGCAAAGGGCACGTCGGAAAACCATAAAACTCCCTTAAGTATTCAAAAGACATAGAAAAAATGTATACTATTAATCCAAATCTTAATATAGTTAGAAATCGAACAATTTTAATTAATACCGGAACCGAAACCCACGTAGTTAAATCAAATTCGGATAAACTTATATATTATTCAGAAATAAAACAGATTACACGAATCAAAAAATACTTTACGAGTAACACTTCTCAAAATAAGAGCTGAAAATTCCATTATACCTCAATAATCAATAATCCATTTCGCAGGGATGGAATATTTAGCATGGTTTTACTAAAATTTTCAACTGCTAGTTAGATTTAAAAACATACAATGATTGCTTCATAATTGGACCTAATAATATTGAACAACCACTCTTTATCTTATCCCTAAAAACAACCAACTTTTTCCTTATTTGGGAAGAATCACTTATGCCAACAATCTTTAAGTTGTCGGCCATCCCAAAACCTTTTGAAAATAAAATAACTCTTCATTTGCAGCACTTTTATAGATAAGTAATTTCTTCATATCATGGATTTATTAAGCGAACATGAAAAGCAATATAATATATTGAGCTCTTTTCCTATATTATGAAGGGTTTCCATAAGAACTTTTAAACATATGTAATCTATACTGATATCAGTAAAGCATTGGACTTTTCTTTTGCAGGCTGACGACGTCAGGCTTTGCGTGTAATGTAAGGACGTTGCGTGCCAGTCGGATTTACAATCAGATTTTAATCATTTTCAAACATGGTGCCGCGTAAACTTATTAAATTTAAACGGCTCTATATGCAAGATAACGACGTTCTGTCGTGTCTTTCCCAAGCTTGTGACATACACCCTTAACAGCTGATCCCAAACATGTATTGCACTG